CCCGAGGCCTGCGCCGTGAAGATCACCCACTTGTCCAAACTACTAAGGAGCCAGTGCCCCCCCCCCACCGGTAGCTAGCTCTTCTCGTCTTCCACCGTAAGAATCATTGTTTCCAAAGGGGGGGGGGCAATCAACCTTTTATATGAAAAGGTTGTTATCTGCTGGGTTTGGCACTCGTGACTCGGGGTATCATACTGTACTGTAAATTTAGGTGACTTCGCACTCCATAGACACTTGCAGGGCAGGTAATTGTGGCTACGCTCTGTTAGAAACCACACCAATAGGCATATACTGTGTGTCGTCACAACCACGCATCAAACCGATAAAATGAACATTCAATTTACCGGTAGGCCCATCACCCTCCCTAATCAATCTACCCTTCCTATTCTACTAATATAGGCCAACAAGCTTTACCCAAGAGGTGTCCTCAAACTCCTGATCCCAGGTCATCCTTGAACTTACCGGGTGAGTGTCTCCCCAAAAGAAGGTTGTCGGCAGCTTTTAGCAAGAGCTTGCCCAGAGATCAATGTTTCGGGACCCTGAGAGTTGTGAAAAACAGACACTCGTAATAGTGTAGTATAGTGCACGGATGCCGGAGATTTCTTTTCTAAACTGGGAAGGTATCATAGCAACATTCATATCCTCCACCGATTTACCTGCACCTTGGCTACTACCTACCCTCACAGCACAACCAGCCTTACCCCACGGACTATTCAAGAGTACCTACATATCATAAAGCCCCAGTGCACGTGCTATCGTCACCTAGGAAGAAACACGGTGCCGCGTCGGTGGTCTCCCCTCCGACCCCGCGAGCCTGGGTTAGAAGTGAAAATAACTAACGGGACGACAAGGTGCGGCATCGTCGGCTTAGTTATCCCTGCATTGCAGGTCCCCCCCTTTTCCAATACTAGTAGACTATAAGTGCTGTGCGAGAAGTGCCATGGGGTAGTTTAGTTGGACAGTTAAACACCTGACTGGGGGATTTGTCCGTTTCCCGTTTCCCTCTTCGGCAGATCAAAGTTGTGATCATTTACCCATCTGCTCGAGTATCATAAAGTATGATAACGTAGCGTAACGTAGCTAGGAGGAGGGAGTTGCGTACTGGTCGGTGTGCAAGGGCTTGAGTGGACTGCTGTAATGTAAGAATAGATGAGGTTTTTGCTATGATATCATACCACAGAGAGAAGCGCTGGTAATAGATCCGGAGTTTGGGGACAGAGTGTGGATCCAGTACCCTACAACCCCACGCAGCAGCAAGATCTCTTGGAATTAGTTGTAAGGTTATCAGCGGAGATCACCGCATCAGTATCATACACTGGAGTATGATACTTGTACGATAGGTTTGGTTTGACAGGTTGGCAGGATTGCCAACACCAGTCGTTGAGGTCCCGCACGTCCCGGGGTCGAGGGCCGTCCAGCGTCGGGGAAGCTCAAATTCTTCTCAGGAGCTTTTGTCTCTAGATCCGGTGCTCTGAAACCTGCTAGAGACAGCGAAATCACAAGAGGTCTCACGGTACATCATCCAGCATGGAAGAATTAAAGTTATATCATACGTTTTGGAAACGGGGATGAATAATCCAAGAAGAGTCTTGGTCGATCCTACTAGACTACGAGTGCAACTCCGTCGAGTCATCTGCCCATCCAATCCAAATTGGTCCTCGGCGGCGGACAAAAACTATCCAAGACCTCAGCCAAATTTGCAACTCTCCAGTAAGTTCGCCCTCACTCAACCCAGAAACAGAATCACCCAGAATGGTAGGGCAACGCCAGCAAAATTTATTAGACATGATAACCCACGACACCCCAAACCCCGATACCAAATCCATCAGAACAAATGGCCAAAATCATGATATCATATATGCGCTCACCATTCTAGGCGTCCATCGCCTTAGCAGAGAGAGAAAAATATATAAAATAAGGGAAAGAAAAAGAAAACGAAATTCAACGAAGTCGCCAATCTATACAGTAATTTACAGCTCCTCCGTAACAGCATCCTGGGGCCTTCCTTGACCGAGTCCATCCTGGTGGACAAGTCGGGTCCCGACTTTGCCGCCCCTGATCTTCCCGTCCCTGCTCTTTGTCAATCGCCATTTTCCCCCAGCCTCCATCCTCATCCCCCCCACGAGGTCTCCCCAGTTGAGGGTTCCGAAGGATCCTTCGGGCGTCTCGACTTCTAATACTTCCTCTTCGGCTGTCCTATCGTAGTTGACTACGAATTTTCCTAGGCTAGTTTGGAAGCCACCTTCAACATGAGTTAGATCCCCAGGTTGGGGGGTGATTGACCAAGTTTTCCCGAGGGGACTCAGAAGTTTGATCCCGAGAATTGAGTCGGTTAAGACAGAAGTTGGGCCTGCTGACCATCCATGGGCGTGCGAGTTTCTGGTTGGGGACCAGTATGCCGGGTATTCTGCGAAACAAACAAGGAAAGCTTGTCAATCTTGTTCTCACGTTCTGGAACGATCGGGTAACCTACGGATATCTCCATCCATCCTAAATCCTTCAACTAAAGTACTATTGGTAAAACCGGGCCCATCAAGCATATATCCCCACTGTCTTCTCATGAGGTCGAGAGCGTTCTGGTAGTTTCCGATTTGTGTATGAGCTTGAAGCTCAAACCCAGAGGCAAAAGGCGAGATTGTATTCGGCAGCTATCTCACCGGATTAGTATTATCCAAAGAATATACAATTAGCGAAAATGTAAATCATACCTCTACCGCTGGAGCTCCATAAGTTCCCCATCTGTTCTTCAACTCTCTGCTAATCCGGTGGGCAATACCTCCAGTGACAAGACCCGTTGCAACAGCCCAACTGTTTCCGTCTTGGGGGAAGATCTAAACGCCATCTAATTTAGCAACAAAAACCAATTTCATGGATACATGTTACTCACATCCCGCCTGTCCTCGGGGTTGTCACAGAACAGTCCAACAGTTCCATTCCAAAGCTTCTCGGGGGCCATAACTCCCTTCTTAATACCCGCCATATACCCCTCCCACAGAGTGATAAGCTGTTTAAGATCCCGTCCTTTGACATCCTTGAACTTATAGCCGTCTTCGTCCAACCACTCTGCAAGTTTGACGCTACCGAAAAGGGTTTTGAGAAGAATTCCCTGAGCTTCAATGTTCTCCCTCCCCATGCCGGGCCGGAGCCAATCGTTGCCCGAGGTAACATACCTTGAGCGCAGAACCATTAGCATTTTATTTGAGGAGAAACAAAGGAAGGGCAACCCACATCAAACCAGTATGCTTCAAGATTTTTGACGTCGAATATTCGATTGCTTGGACGTACTTCCACCACAAGTGCTTCAAGTAATCGAAATCTCCACTATAAAGCACATACTGGTAAACACCTAGAAGTGCATGCATGTGATATGTATCGCTGAACTCGAAACGGAACCCCATAGGTGGACCCGCATAAGGTAATCTGATCATGCCACTACCCTTACCACCCTCCTCATGAGAACTTTATGAAAATAATGTGTGAGACATTCAGAAATATT